CGTCCATCGAGACAGAGTGAGTGCCCCAAAAAACTCCTGCGCGGATTTGCGCGAATATGTAGGCAGCAAAAATGGATTTCCTGTGATGCACGTCGCGGCCAAAACTCGCGAACGACGACCTTGTCCGCCGTTCACGGACCCCTCGTCCAGCCGTATATTGCGAACGAGGATTCACACTTGCGCCGACGAACCCACGTCCACGCGAGAAGTCTAGTAAGCCTTATCGTTTAGAGAAAAGAGAACTCGTAACAAGGATTCTATAGTTGAACCTGCGAAAGGATCAATGTCGATGTCTGCCCCGGTGGACAACAGCGAATTCGTGACCTGATGTACGAATGCCAGTCAGGACGTCCATCGAGACAGAGTGGGCGCCCCAAAAAACTCCTGCGCGGATTTTCGCAAATATGTAGGCAGCAAAAATGCATTTCATGCGATGCACGTCACGGCCAAAGATCGCTGACGACGACCTTGCACGTTGTTCACGAACCCGTCGTCCAGCCGTATATTGCGAATGAGGAATCGCGCACGGGCACCGACGAACCTGCGTCAATGCGAGAAGTCGAGTAAGCCTTATCGTTTAGAGAAAAGAGAACTCGTAACAAGGATTCTACAGTTGAACCTTCGAAAGGATCATTGTCGATGTCTGCCCCTGTGGACAACAGCGAATTCGTGACCCGATGTACAAATGCCGGTCAGGCCGTCCATCGAGACAGAGTGGGCACCCCAAAAAACTCCTACGCGGATTTTCGCGAATATGTAGGCAGCAAAAATGGATTTCCTGCGATGCACGTCGCAGCCAAAAATCGCAAACGACAACCTTGTACGCCGTTCACGGACCCGTCGTCCAGCCGTATATTGCAAACGAGGATTCGCGCACGGGCGCCGACGAACCCCCGTCATCGCAAGAAGTCCATTAAGCCTTATCGTTTAGAGAAAAGAGAACTCGTAACAAGGATTCTATAGTTGAACCCGCGAAAGGATCATTGTCGATGTCTGCCCTGGTGGACAACAGCGAATTCGTGACCCGACGTACGAATGCCGGTCAGGCCGTCCATCAAGACAGAGTGGGCGCCCAAAAAAACTCCTGCACGGATTTTTGCGAATATGTAGGCAGCAAAAATAGATTTCCTACGACGCACGTCATGGCCAAAAATCGCGAACGACGACCTTGTCTGCCGTTTACGAACCCGTCGTCCAGCCGTATATTGCGAACGAGGATTCGCGCACGGGCGCCGATGAACCGCGTCATCGCGAGAAGTCTATTAAGAATTATCATTTAGAGAAAAGAGAACTCGTAACAAGGATTATATAGTTGAACCTGCGAAAGGATCATTGTCGATGTCTGCCCCGGTGGACAACAGCGAATTCGTGACCCGATGCACGAATGCCGGTCAGGCCGTCCATCGAGACAGAGTGGACGCCCCAAAAAACTCCTGCGCGGATTTTCGCGAATATGTAGGCAACAAAAATGGATTTCCTGCGATGCACGTCGCGGCCAAAAATCGCGAACGACGACCTTGTACGCCATTCACGGACCCGTCGTCCAGCCGTATATTGCGAACGAGGATTCGCGCACGGGCGCCGACGAACCCGCGTCATCGCGAGAAGTCCATTAAGCCTTATCGTTTAGAGAAAAGAGAACTCGTAACAAGGATTCTATAGTTGAACCTGTGAAAGGATCATTGTCGATGTCTGCCGCGGTAGACAACAGCGAATTCGTGACCCGACGTACGAATGCCGGTCAGGCCGTCCATCGAGACAGAGTGGGCGCCCAAAAAAACTCGTCCACGGATTTTCGCGAATATGTAGGAATCAAAAATAGATTTCCTGCGACGCACGTCACGGCCAAAAATCGCGAACGATGACCTTGTACGTTGTTCACGGACCCGTCGTCCAGCCGTATATTGCGAACGAGGATTCCCGCACGGTCGCCGACGAACTGCGTCATCGCGAGAAGTCCAGTAAGAATTATCATTTACAAAAAAGAGAACTCGTAACAAGGATTCTATGTTGAACCTGCGAAAGGATCATTGTCGATGTCTGCCCCGGCAGACAACAACAACCTTTCAAATAATACTCCCTCCGTCCCAAACATCCTGCAATATTTCTTTTTTTATATGTCCCAAACACCCTGCAATATTTTCAAAATTAATTTTTTTATGTCCCAAACACCCTGCAATATTTTTAAAATAGAAAATAAGTAATTATATGTAATCTCTACCCCACACTTTATCCTCTCACATAATGCAAATAAAAAAATATATATATTTCTGTCTTTTTCACATCATCTAATTTAAAAATTATCTTACTTAATATTACCCAACTAAAAGCTCGTACCAAAAGCAAATGTTGCATCTTGTTTGAGACGGAGGGACTATATTTATTCTATGAAATATGAGAATTAAAATTTAATTTAAATTTAAATTTAAATAATATATATATATATATTTTTTTACGAAAGATGAGAACTAATTCGACCGAATATTAAAATTATATATAAAAAAAATGACCTTTTACAGTATCATGAAAACAATAAAAAAATAAAATAAAATTGTATATATATAATAATTATTTGGTGTAGTTACTGTAGTATTTTAAACAAAAATTACTGGAGTATTAATAATGGATGGTGTTGGTAGCGTGGACAGCCTATTATTGCCCAACCCTACTATTCAAATAGCTTATTATTTAGTTAAATTGTTTTGACTTTGATGCTTATTTGCAAAATCGAGCTTATTAATTTAAAAATATTAGATCAAATGTATATATATTTTTACTGTAATAGCAAATTAAATATTTATTTTGTAAAAAAATATATATATAATGTGTTTATTTGATTATAGTTTAAAATTAATTTAAAAATATTTCAAAAATTTTATTTTTATGTAATTTTGTTCTATCTATATAATTTATCCTATTTGGAGCCTTTTTTTTCCATAAAATAAGATAAAATAAAATACTTTATCAATTTCAATTCAAAGTATTTTTTTTGTTATATCCTATTTAAAAAAAAAAATTTTGTATAATATAAAAAAATAAAAAAATACGCGTTAAATTTGATATTATTAAAAAAGAAAATTTTGATAAATAATAAAAATTTTGGAAAATCTCCCAAACAACCACACCCGACTGTGTTTTTTAATTGGTCTTGATATTGGGCCGGGCTGAAACAGTCGGTCCAAGTTCGGCCCAAAGTAGATCGGCCCATTGGGCAACTTGATTGCTCAGGCTATGGATGTGTGGGTATTCTAGAAGGTGTGATGGGAAATCAGTGTGAATTCTTTTATTTTTTATATAAAATTATACATATTCAACAAAATTATATCATTATTTTTATTCTTTTCCCCATTAAATTTATGTATTTTTTTTTTTTACAGTAAATAATTTGTTCATTTATATTTTTATTATTCTTACTTCAATAAATTATAAGTAATTTGTTATTATTAGTTTTAATTAATTTTTTTATAATATATGTATTTTATTTTTTACATCTATACTTAAACATTCAAATATTATTATCTTTTAGGATCTGTTTGGTTTAAGGATTTTTTTTTTATGATATTGAGATTTTGCAATGTGATATGATTTATTGTATTTAGGATTTGGAATCTTATTCCGTGTTTGGTTGGGGTTGTTCGGTTCAAGGATTTTGATTTTTGATATTTTAAATTACGTAATTATCCTTCTACGAATATTATTTATTGTGATAAATTAAACTTTATATCAATTTTTTTTCCGTAAACTTTGTTTTTTACTAAATTTAGTGTATTCTAATAAAAAAATTTTAATACGATTTTCAATTAATAATAAAAAATATAATATATATATTCATACAAAAATATATATTGTAATATATACTCTATACACTAAAAAATACAATAATTTAATTATTTTTTTATAATATCGACATCCTTTTTCATATTTAATATAAAAAAAAACACTTTAAACTAAAAATAAAAAATTAATACATCAATAAAATAAATTTAAATTATTAATTGATATTCTAAATTATTAATTTATTTAGGGTGTGTTTGTTTGGGGGTTTGGATTTTGAGTTGAGATTTGAATAGTAAAAATTTTGAATTTGAATAGTTGTATGATATGATATAAATAGGTATTGATGTGATGTTTTGAAGAATGTAAAAAATAAAAAATAGGAATTTGATTTAATATTTTTGGGGGAAAAAATGGGATGAATAGTGTAAATCCAATCCCCCAAACAAACACACCCTTAAATTATCATTAGTATAATAATTAAATGTAAATAACATTAATAATTATAAATAAATATATGATTTATAGTAGTATGCTTAAATATAATATTATATTTTATAAAAACTAATAAAATATAATTTAAATGTAAATATATATACATTTAATATTAAAAAAAGAAAATAAATATGATTTTTTTTATTATTAAAGGGTATTATAATAAAATGTAAAATGCAATGATATAGGATTTTAAAGAGCAGAATTTTAAAATTTTGTGCAGTTAAAATTTCATCGTCAATTTTATAATTAAACATGAATTCATTAGGATTTTAAAATCCAAATTCTATGAAATCCCACAAAATCCACGAATGACACAGTCCCTTCATTTTTTTACTTAATCAAACCTCTGTAATTTTATTAGATGAATGTGGTATTTTATTTTATTTCAGAAAACATATGTTATAAATGATAGCTTTATGAACTGTTAATTGGTTGTTTTGGAATCAACACATTAAAATGATCTTTCTAAACATATTATTGACATATTTTATTTTTATTTTTTATTTAAATGTATTATTGACAATTTTTATTTTTATTTTTTATTGTTATTTTTTTTATAATGGGGTGCAGCTGTTACTTGTCCGAACTGTGATAAAAAAAATAGTTTAATATTTTTGCTATTTGCATTTTATGTAAAATTAAATTAAGATTTAAAGAAAAAAAAAAAGAAAAAAGAAGAAATACAGGTAACCAAAAAAGTAAACGAAAAATAAATTAAGACTAACCGAGAACGTGTCAAAAAAAACCCTCGTTAGGGTTTTAATCTTCAGTTTCAATCGATTCTCTCTGTTTCAACCGCTGAAATCAGAGGGATCCGATCGTTTTGTGGAGCTTGCTGGGATTAATGGAAGGCGGGAGAGAGGAAAGAGAGAAGCTGACTCTTGTTGCCCGGAAATCCTGTTTTGGGCTGCCGACCGCTTGCCCTCACTGCCTGCCGGTTTACATTTACCTCAGATTTTCGAAGATTCCTTTCAATTTGGAATTCAATCTCATTCACCCTGATTCAGGTACTTGTGCGGGCACGATTCGAGTTCATTTGCTGCTCCTTGCGTTCGCTGAATATATTTATCGAAATAATTGTGCAGGTTTATCATTACTATGTTTTCGATTCATGTTTCGAATTAATGTCGTGCTTCGAAATGGAGAAAGAGCTTTAAGGAGTGTGTTCTTAATTGTTATTGACGATTGGAAACTTAAACTTGTCCCTGTTGTTCGGGAAGTGAGTGATTGAGATTATTATAAGCAGTTCAATTGAATGTCTTTGCCAAAGTTGAAGCTGTGCCAACTGCCAATGTTGATTTATGGATTCATGTTATTGCATTCTAGAAAATTCGATTGCAACTTCTTCGTAACCGAAAAAATGAAAATAAAAATTGTTTACTAATGTTGAAGCTTTGTTGTTGGTGATAATGGAGTTTTTGATTTGTGCTGTGTGATGGATTGATTTGCTATCATTTCTTTATATATATGTTGGTCTAGTTGTGATGCAAACTGAATCATAATTTTCTATTTGAGTTAGTATTGTAGGAGAGTAAGTTCCGGGTCAATAGTCCTAGAATGGTTCGAAACAAGGTATAGATTAGGAGTTGTTTTGGCCCTTTCTTGATCGGGATAATAAAATTTAATTTTGTTCGCCTTATAGATTCTTCTGTTTTGAAATTTTGATGAAATAAGAACTAGAAATTTAATTTTTGTTGTGAAATGATCGATTACCTAATGATAAATGCAGGGAGGATTGAATATTGTGGCACGCTAAAAGTTTTATATCTTTCTTATTGTTTTCTTTACCAGATCAAATACCATATATTGAATTTGGTGATTATGTGGCCTATAACAATGAGAAAGGCGGAGTCATTAACAGTATGAAGGAAGAAGGCATTGTCGATTTGGACTCTGGGATCAGTGATAGACCTGAATGGATATCGATGAAGGCTTTAGTCGAGTCATGGCTTGCTGAAGCATTGATGTATGAACTCTGGGTTGCACCAGACAATAAGCCTGCACACAAGATTTATTACTCGGATCTCCCTTGGCCGATCGGAAAGATTTTGTACTTCAAGCAAGTTCTAGTCGTGAAAAAACAGCTTGGGATAACCGCAAGCAATGCTGAGCGACGAGAAGAAGAGGTAATTTTCGGTTGCCTCTTTAGCCTTTTGTTTTACGAGCATAAAACTACTCATGTGAACACCTAGGTAGGTCTTTTTTTTCGCCCATTTGTTTATATGTAAGTAATATATATATTTAATAGATATAATTTGATATTACAAATTTAGAAATAGCCTAATCATTGAGCTTCCGATGCTTTTCTTTGCACAGATATACAGTAAAGCAGCTTTAGCATATGATGCTTTGTCTTCTAGGTTAGGGGAAGAGTCGTTTTTCTTCGATAACAGGTGCTTCTCCTTCCTTTACTTTTGATAGATGGAATTTTCGCTCAAATTTTGTTTATTTGAAGTCTAAAGGATTATAGTTGGGACAGGCCAACGAGTTTGGATGCTGTTTTTCTCGGGCAAGTTCTCTTAACCCTTCATGCTTTACCGGTGAGTTTTGCCAATATATATTCACAAAAAAGTTGTTTTCTAACGTACTATTTCCTCATCTTGGCCTATATTTTTAACCCGTTTTTACCCAACAGGAAACGTCAATTCTGAGAAGCAAGCTCTTGGATCATCCCAAACTTGTAAATTATGCCGATAATCTTAAAGCACAGTATATTGACGTCAATCCATCATCTTCATCAGTTCCCCCGTCGGATCCCTCTTCATCAGCTTCATGGCAAGGCCGTTCAAATTATCGTAAGTCACTTGAAGCTACGCTGCTTATCATTTGATATTAACTCCTTGTTATGCCATTTTCTGTTGCCTTCTTCATTTATGCTTTTGCACGGATTACTCTTGATTTCGAAATGGAAAAGCTTGGAGAACATGCGGAATTACACCAAATAGGGTGTTTTTGTTTCGGGATTGGATTTTGAATCAGAATAGATGTTTAATGTGATTTAAATCAGTGTTGATGCCGATGTTCTTTTTATTACAATATAGAAATGAAAACTATGTATTTCATGTGATGTTTTTTAGGGAATTTTTTTAGAAATAGTGAAAATCTTGTAAAATTTCCGAAACAAATGCACCCATATGACGTTTATATTACTTAATTTTCGATTTATTATAAGTTATAACATGTTAAAGTTCATCCCATCGGTTGACATTTTAGGCTCAAAACCGAGGAGCAAACCTACGAGGGAGAAAACAGAGGAGCAAAAGAAATTCCGAAGAAGGGCCAAGTACTTCCTCGCCGCTCAACTTATTGCTGTTCTTGTGTTCCTCTCGCTCGTCAATGGATCCAATGATGCTGAAGTTGATCTTGGAGATGAAGACGACGAAAGCTTGAGTTAGTTTGCTCGGGAATTACTCACAGCCAGGTAGAATCGTTACGCCCTTTGTGCTTGCTTCTGAATATATACTGCGGCGCCGAATATCTTTAAATTGAATGAGATTTTGACAAGCCTTCTTGATATTCATTTTTTGTACAAGTTGGGAGAGGTTCCCCTTTTCAACATTTCATTTGGGAATAAATACTTTCTGCCATTTGGGTTTTCGACATCTTGACAAACCATGTGATGAACTACTAACATTGGATCCATTATTTGTAAGCTCTGATTCAGGTTTATTTGATGCTTTTAGTATTCGAGTATCGTTGGATTTGAAGCCCGAGCTTTTTATTATTATTATTATGGTTTGAAGCTTTATTTAGGGGTCGAAAATAATATCGAATTACGGAAATATCACATATGCATTGAAAAGATGTCGGAAATACCAAAATTTCGAAAATATAGTATTATGTTTTGATATTTTAGTATTCGGTATATACTATAATTCCGTGGTATATTGATGTCAAAGTTATTATTTTTATTTTTTTTAAAAAAATTATTTTTAATTTTACTATCAAATTATCGGTACATTTTTGGTAAGTGTACACCAAATTTTTCGGTACGGTCAAGCTATTTTTGGTATACCAAATACTGTGCGGCTCGAGCTGTGGACAATTTGGGTGGGCTTGTACTGAGCAGCCGAAATCATATGGGTCTTTATTTATGGTCTGACCCAATTTAGATGGGTTGATATTGGGCTGGTTAAATTGACCGGTTTTGTTTTGGATCGGCGTAATTGATGTGAAACTTAATTTATGGGCCGGTCCAAATCATATGCACCTTGGTTTTGGGTCAGACCGGTAAACCGGACCAACCAACATATGGACCTTGATCATGGGCTAGCTCGTTTATGATTGGGTTAGTTCAAATTGAATGGGCTTTAGATATGGGTCAGACAAATTCTTGATGGGCCTTGATACTGGATAGTCCAATTAGATTATAAATGGCCCAATAGATCCAATTAGATGGATCCTTATTACTGGTTGGCCCAATTGTGATGGACCTTTATTTCTGGATCAGTCTTGGGTCTTTGTTTTGGGTTGACCCAATATTAATTTGCTATCAAAATATATACTCCCTCTGTTCCATAAATACAGTCTTAATTGGTTAAACACGGATAGAAATATTGATATTATATTGGTAGTTGGTAAAAAATATAGATAAATTTTTTTTTTTTTTGCCTTGGAAATAGTTTTATAGTGATATAGTTATTTATAAAAATAAGACTATTGTTTTGGCACGGACAAAAATAATAAATATGACTTATGAAGGTGGGAGTACTACTTATTAATATATATGGTTGAATATTGGCTACTTTTTTTAAAAAAAACATATTCTGATTCCATCAAATCAGAAGAAACTAAAGCATTTTATAATCTCTCTGTTGTAAAGTCTTTTTAATATCATATTCGTAGTATAGTTACTAAAATAAAATAAAATCAAGAGAAATTCTCTTCCCAATTTCATGAATAAACTGATGTGACTCCTTTCTACATCCAAAAAAAAAATCCTAACTACCCTAAAAATTGCAATAAATGACACCCAAAGTTCCCAACTAAAATTCTAATCTACATCCCATCTTCAAAAAATTTACACTCAAAACTCCTACCCAATACAACAATACTACTAATAACAATAATCCTAATTATTATAATAACACATATATATTTATTAAATCCTAATTTCTTACTTGTCCTCTTTCCCCTCCAAACTCTGCTTGTTACTATCATTCTTACTTCCATTATTATTATTATTCTCCCATTTCTTGATCAGATCTGCATACCCTTCTGCTGACCCTAAAGCAAACTCAGTGAGTGCACTCACAGCCACAGACATTCCCGCACACACAACTCTTATCCCAACTTCACCCATCTTCTCTGCACTCATCACCACCTCCCCGCCGCCGCCGGAGGAGGCAGCGCCGCCTCCGGCCTCCACCATCTCCATGCTCCCGACCGCCGCTGCCCCCTCACCGGAAAACCTCCTCGACGGCCGGGAATCTTCCCGCAGCTGCTGGGCGTACAGCGAGCCGATTCCGGCGGCGAAGAAGTCCATCCCGTCGAGGACTTGGGCCTCGCCCATGGTGTCGAGGAGGTTCGACCATTGGATGCACGTGTCGAATATCGGCGGGGCGCCGGCGGCGGAGGAGGAGCGGCGCGGGGAGAAGGGGAACTTCGAGGCTGCATCGGGATCGGGACGGACGCAGCGGAGGAGCCATGCGGCGAGCGCGCGGACGTAGGATCGTTGAGAGACGATCCACGCGTCGAAACTGGCTCTCCAGTTTCGGAGCTCTTTCTCGAGGTTGGATGCCGACCGCGCGAGCCTGTGCGGCTCGGAGGGCGACACGATCGTGTATCTCTTCGTCCCCGAGAGCTTTGACGGCGTCCCGGCGAGTAAGATCTTGGCCTCGTCTAGCGTTCGTTTTTGCCGCTGGTGGCACTCCGCCATCACCTTCCACATCCTCGCTAACCTGTCGATAATTGATTCGGTGTTAAGTAGGAGTGGTTCGGTAAAGTATAACGAATTTTATACTGCATATTGATACTATAACAAAAATTCAATATGCTAGTATGGTATATATACTGTACTGTACCGATAATTCGGTATATCGATACATACTGTTTCATACCTAAATGTACTGATATATAAACTACTAAAATATCGAAACAATATACAGTATTTTCGGTATGATACTTTATTATACTGATATTATACTCAAAATTCAATATACCGGTATGGTATATATACTATACCGTACCGATAATTCAGTATATCGAATTATTCATACCGTTTCATATCGAAATATTCCGATATATGAAATACTAAAATATCAAAACGATATACAATATTATCGGTATATACTAAAATATCAAATTATATACCGTTATCGTACCGAAAATATTTGTTATTTTCTATTTTTGGTACGTTATGTGCGATATTTTGATAATTCGGTATTTTTTTCCGACTCCTATTACTAAGAATGTCATATTTTCGAAAAAAAGCGCGGCAGGATGTATATTCAAAAGGTAAAACATACCCTTGCACCAATTCTAGTAGCTGAGGTTCGAGTTCTTCGTCTCGAAGAGTTTCGATCCTCTTCGAGATGGCTTCAACGGAATGGATCGAAACTTTTATACGAGTATGGAGATCTCTTATGGTCGCCCTTGTTTTATCCACAAAAGACGGGTCCTCGCCTTTCGCGTCCTGATTCCTAAGCTGCAAACACTTCTTCTCATACGCTATCCGAACACGCTCGCCAGCCTGACAAAACAACATGTAAGAACATGGAATCTTGTTAAGAAATACTACCTAGTCGAGATTAGTCGAGTTTCAGGATCATACCCTAACTTCCTGATACAGTTTCTTCTCCCAAGCAAAGAGTCGATCCAATGTCGACTGATGACTTCCCGAAAACGCACACGATTCGTCTGAGAAGTCGCTGGTGCTTTCATATCCATCATCTCTTGAAGTCGAAGCGCTCACCAGAAACCTCGATGATGATGATCGTGAAGCTGACCTGAATAAGGCTACCGGATTCAGCATGTTCATCGCTGCAATCAAAAAAACAGAAGGATTAGATCTTCTAGATGCTCTGTTTTTCGACACGAATTCGAATCGAAATTGGAGGGTGTCGATTATTTCAAAAGATACCTGTGAGATCATTTGATGATGATGCATACTTAGCTCTGCTGGCCTCCAAAACGACGGACATTTCACCGGCAGCTTTACACGCGGCCGTGAATTGATCTTCGAGATCCTTAATAACTTCCGCCATACTTGTCGGCCTTCGGTTTACGTAAACGGTGAAGCCGGGGGTGGTTTCCTCTTTCGACTCGCAATCGGCGACAACTGTTTCCTTCTTATTTATTTGGCCGACATTTTGAGGTTTCGACACTTCTATGCTGTCGTGTTTCCGGGATGATGGTAACTCCCTGATGTCATCATCTGTTTCGACGTCACAATCACTGTCGTCGTCGTCATCGTCAGTGTCGTCGTCGGCATCTTCGACGACGACTTCCTCTCTCTCGAAGTTCATGTGATGTTTGTTTTTCTCGTCTCGCTTATCTACGCTCTCGTCAATTTCTTCGTATTCCGTCTCCTCTTCTAACTCCGGGATCCCTTCTTCTTCCCTTAATTGCTGAAGCCCGGTACTCTCGTCGTCATCCAGCATCGCCGGATCGAGGCTGCCACCGGTAGGATAGCCGTAGTAATCCAACGACGAAAAAGGGTTCCAGAAGAAATCCCATTGAGATGTCGTAGGCGATGGCGGCGGATAGTTAGGCCGATTGTTCGGAGAGTATTGGAAGAATGATGATCGCATCGGAGACGAGGATTGCATCCGGAACATACTGTCCATCCCAAAATGATGCGCCGGAGAAGAGTAAGTTTCGACTCTATAAGTTTCCGGCGACTGTGGAGGTCTCTCCTCGACAGAAACCGATGGATTCCCACCCGACTTGAAGCAGTGTATTCTGAAGGATGAATTGGGCTCCGGTTTAAATGGCGTCACCGAGAACGAGTTGGGAGATATGGAGATGAAGCCTTGGCCTTTCTTCTTGATCGGAGGTGTCAATGTAGGAGTCGTCGTTGTATATGAATCCAAGAGAAACTCACGGGGCTCATCGCCGTCAATGTATTCTCGTAGCGCAGCAGACACTCTTTTCATGGCTTGAATATACGCGACATGTCCCGAAGCAAATTTCATTCTCTGCTCGACAGCTTGTCTGATAAACTTCTTTCGATCTTTGCAAAGCTGGACTGACTCTTCATCATCCAACTTCGATGTAGAACATCCCATCTCTTCCCCTCTAGTTTTCGTTATGTCGAATGTATAGACTTTAGGAATTTTTCAGGCTCGAATCGAAGTGGAAATCGCAACGAATTTCCACAAGATTCATAAGGAATTCCTATCCCCTGCAAGGCCAAAAACTTGCATCATGTGGAAGCAGAATCACTAGAAGTATTGGAAACAAGAAAAGAAAGAGATAAAGACCAAAGCTATAATTCAATAGCCAACAATGGCAATAAAAACAACAATATCATATTACAATTAAATTCTTTACTTTGATCTGAAGACACCAGAAACACCCAAAGATAGCTTATAAAACATACACAATGCAAATAAAAACCTCACTTTAGCAGGTGAAAAGTAGTCCTAACCTAAGATCTTCAACATCCCCAAATTTCAAAAAATTTCCAAAATTGAGTCACAAAAAAAAAAAACCTAATTATGAAATGAAATTCAGCCTTGGTTACCTTGATAAGAGGGAAAGCTAAGTCAGAAACAAGCAGCAGTTCATCAAAAGAAACTACAGTGAATGTAAGACCACCGCCTTATTTAATCATATCAGTATTTAGATGACGAGAAAATCTTTATCAGAAAGTAGTAGTGGAAGCACAAAGCAAAAACACAATGGAAAAGCTGAAAACGAAAATTATCAGGAAATTAAAAATTTCTGAAAATGGTAAAATAATGCATACTTCCTTGAAACAAATCAACAGTAAATCTGAAATCCAAAAAATAAAAATAAAAATAAAAATGATTGAACAGAAGATTAAATGAGAAGGAAACATTTGATTCCACAACCGCTCGCCGATTAACACGAAGAGCGAAAAAAGGAACGCGAAGCTTTTTCAGTAAAAATCCGTACCTAAAATACTCGAAAACCGAATATCTCCACAAATCCAAATGCGAAAAATCTAAGAACAAACAACCAAAGACTACTGAAATGGTAACTCATAAAGCACACATCGAACTCTAATTTCTTTTCCGAAGCGATTCAGTACCAAAAATCTAGAAATTCCAGCAATCGGTTTACCACCAACATTTCTAAAAATTAAACACGAATCCGTGTAATTATCACACCTCGATTCACAAAAATCGCCGCGAAAACGACAAACAGCTGGCGAGGCGAAGACCAAGCACAGAGTAATAAAGGCATAAACCATACTTCCACAAACCAATTCATAAAATCAATTCCATTACATGTTTCAGGTCAAATCTCCACCATAACAAACAAACTGAATTGAACAGAAATGAGAATCGAATGAGAGAATCCGTACCTCAATGCGGAAGCTGTTCGCTTGATCACTGCTCTGAGAGAGAGAGAGAGAGAGAGAGAGAGAGAGAGAGAGAGAGACGTTAAGGAAAAAAAGCAACGGTCAAAAAATCTGTTTAAAGATAAGAAAAGAAGGGGAAAAATACAAAATTAAATAATAAAGCTAAATAAAGGGGAAGCATAAGACGACGTGCCTACAATATCACCCTTCTTCTCCTCAAATATTTCGAAAATGCCATCGCCAAATTTTTGTTTATAGTTAGGTCAATAGATTTATAAAATTTATTTTTAAATGAAGTAGAATAAAAATAAATTGACATGAATTCATTTCTTATTTTATTGATTATTGTTGGCACTTTATTCAAATATTCTCTCTATTTATTAATGTCTGGTTTTGGTTTTTCTATTATTTGATTAAGTTTTTATTTTATATATTAGAAATATATATATTTATATAATATTATATTAAATATTATATCTGTCTCATATTTTATAATTGTCATTTATTTTTAAAAAAATAATTATATATTTTAATTGAATTAATCAATTATCTTAATTTTAATATATAATTATTTATATTATACTTTAATTATTTTATTAATACATTTATTAAATATAATTATTCTATATTTTTTATCTACAATGAACATCATATTAGCATTTTTTTTGTATTATTCAAAAATATTTATTTATTATTATAATAAAAATAATCATATATTAATATTAAAATACTATTAATTTTTATAAAAAATTAAAATATAATAATATACATACAATTATTTTACCTAAAATGTAAATGACAAAATATCAAGTAATTTTACACACCTTTTTTTAACTAATAAAAAAAGTGTGTAAAATAAATCAATATTAACTCATCAATTATCAAGTTAGTAGTATTTTTTTTTGAGAAAAATTGTTATTTATTTTTTTATTGAGAAAAAGATTAAAATATTACTACATTTATTTTTTTATATAAAAATTTTATAATTAAATAGGTGTTTACAATCAAATATTAATTTTATATATATTTTAATTTAATAAAATAAAATTTTATGCAATAAATAAAATAAAAAATATTTTTTTATATTTATACCAAAATAAAAAAATAAAAAATATATATATATAATGTACCCAAACGATTGCATCGCAAAATTGATTTTATAAAAATAAGTACAATATTTAATTAGTTTATGCGAGAGAATAGTCATTAAAAGAGTGTGCCAAAGGAAGAAAGTTGGCATAAAGCCTAAAAAGGAATCAGCGGGACCCACGCAAAGAATTGGAGTATTAAATGACGATAATGCCCTTCACCGAAATGCCAATAGTGCTCTTTTTGATGTGAAGAGAATCCTGAGAACTATAAATATGAATGTCACTGCCCTATCTGTTGACCCGGCCCGAATCAAATCCTTTGGGTTTGGCCCAGTAACCCGATTTCAAAGTCAACTTTATATTTAATAGTTTTATAATTTTTTTTAAAATAAACAATTTTTTTTTTTTTGTAAGAAATAATATATTGGATTATAATATTTTCAGAAAAATAGTGCACACTAATTTTATTATTCATCTATTTTTTTAATATATTATTAAAATATTAATTTTTATATAAAATATTATATTTAGTAAATTATTCTTATACAAAAAGATCAAAATATAAATAAAAATAAGAATTGGACAAAGCCCATGGACATATTTTGATAAAAGCCTAATGGTGATTACCTTTCTGTATTGGGCCTTCTTGTGGCCCATTTTGAACAACTTATTATTTGTATATAGGCAAATTTGCACAGTTTTGTTTATTTGGTAGTATTATTTTTTAATTTATTATATTTAATATAAAAAATAATTAAATATAATATTTTTTTATAATATTAATTGAGATATATGTTGAAAAACTTTTGGTCGAAGAACAGGGTGTGTTCTTTTAACAAAAAAATACACACAAGTCCTCTGGAAAAAAAAAATTAATACATCACATATATTCATTATTTGTATATATTCTATACAATTGTTTGTACCTCTAATAAAAAAAAATACTCATTCAAATTATTTAAAAAACTAAATAAAATATGGGTTAATGTTTACAGAGGATTACAATACCAGTATAAAACAGAAATAATAATAATAATAATAATAATAATAATAAAGAATGTAGACTTAATTTAAAAGAGACCATATTTAAAACTACTTTATATTAAAAAATAGTATAAAATTTTGTTCATTAAAAATAATTTAATCCTAAAATAATTTGGGTTGTAGTATTGTTTAGCCTTCAAAAAGGAGGATTGAATTACGTAGCATTACATCATCTTACATACTTCCTCCGTTTCAAAATAAATGTATTATTTTTCTATTTTCGTTCGTTTCAAAACAATTGTCTCGTTTATTTATTTAGTAACTGTGGTCCCCACTTTATAACAAAATTATTCCTACTTTTTCAAACTAATTTTAATTATTACTCTAATCTACTTTTAAAAATTTTTAAAAAAGTAAAGACATTTTAGTCTTTTATATTCTACTTTATACTTACTTTTAATTAAATACTATTATTCTTTAATTTTCGTGTCAACACTCAATAAAACGTCTCTCTTGGGACGGAGGGAGTATTTTTCAATCTTTTTCCAAAGACTTGCTTGTAATTATATCCTCCCTCTGCCAAAAAGATAAATTGAAGTGAATATATTATAAAATATATTATGGAGTTATTAAAAAAATAATAATAGAGTAAAGTAATGAAATAACTATTATTTGTTAAAATAAAAATAAAAATATTATAATCCATCCAAACAAAAGCCTTAATAGAAACTTTGGGAACAATTACCATACTAGCAAACACACATAACTTCCAAAAATAAATAAAAATAAATAAAAATAGTTATAGTGGCAATCCCATCATCCATGGATCACTTACAATATAAATATTTATTCGTGGACCAATAATTCCTTTTTTGTATTATGAATTTTGGCCATTCATTTAACTTTAAATCTTCTTTATATATATATATATATATATTTCACAAACAAATATTACAGGACAAAATAATATATATATATATATGTGTGTGTGGCCAATTAATTAAGACAAGACCGAATAAGAGTTTAAACAAATTGGAAAGTTGAATCAGCTTCAATTCAACCATGTATTGTTCTGTCAAGCCACTATATATATATATATATATATAATATATATATATTTGCTTAACAATCTATCTATTTTTTTAATTTTAGTATGTCTCATAAAAAAATATTCATTTGCTTTTTGCACGTAATTTTAAAAATATTAGTATTATATTGGGATATAGTAGAAATGAAATAGAAATGACTAAAATAATCTTATTAGTATGTGTGATATAAATGTAATGATATTTTTGTAATATATTGTAAGTTGTAAAGGTATTTGTAATGTTAAGTAGATAGTACAGTTACTAAGAAAGGAAATGGATATTTTGTTATGAGACATACTAAAATGAAAAAATGGATACTTTGTTATGGGACGGAGGGAGTATTATACAAATGTCATTACTTTTATATCATACAATACTAATAGGGGTAATTTAGTCTTTTAACATTTATTTATATTTTATCTCAATATAATACTAATATTTATAGAACTCCGTAAAAAAAAACAAATGAATATATATATATATGAGACGGAGGGAGCATATAAAATGATGATTACAGTGCTGATTTTAATTGATGCTGATTTTTCACATCAGCACGCGTTATATATGCATACAGTACACATTAGTATTACACACAAGATATGTTATGTATAATAAAGGTATGTGCTTTTTTTTTTTTATAATAACAAATATGCTATATACAAGTATGTTATTTGCTAAAAAATCAACTATTGTGTGTGTTGTATGAAATTATAGCATGTGATGTTAGTTCATGTGTTGTATTTATATGTTATTAACATATACAATGTGTTGTCCGTAGTAGTGTTGTGTGTTGTTGTCACTATAATATGCGTGTTTTGTTCATGTGCAGTATTTATATTATATTAACGTATACGGTGGTGCTGTTTGTAATAATATTATATGTTGTGTAATAGTATACAATGTATTGTTCAACATTGAATTTTAAATTTAGCATTCTAATCGCCACCTATATGTATATGTATATGTATATATATATATACACATTGATATGACACTGTTTACTTCTGCTAAGCTTAGATATAGGCTCCGCTTATACAAGAGAGGGTTCATTTGTTTAGTGTTTTGATTTGAAGATATATATATATTATGTTAAGGTATATGGAATCATGTTAGTAATATAAAAAATAATACTTAATTCGTCTCAATTTAAAGTACTATTTTAACTATTTTTGTCTGTTGTACTCAAAAGTATTCATTTTTTAGTAAAAATATTTATACGTTAATACTAAAATATCTTTAGTTTTTTTTAAGGGTGTGTTTGTTTGGGGGTTTGGATTTTGAATTAAGATTTAAATAGTAAAAATTTTGAATTTGAATAGTTGTATGATGTGATATAAATAGGTGTTAATGTGATGTTTTGAATGTAAAATTAATTTTTAGTATAATATAAAAAATAAAAAATAAATGTTTGATTTGATATTTTTGGAGGAAAATTTGATGAACAGTATAATTTTGGTAAAATCCTTCAAACGAACAAACCCTAAAAAAAAATTACAAACGTACCATTATATATACAATTATTTTTTACATAAAATCAAAAGGCAAAAATGTCCG